AGATTAGCTGAGTAAAGAGTATAGCTATAGCAGCGATGATCATCAATTAAGGTTGACTTATCAGTGACAATAAGACAATCTAGTTTATTTTGGAAAACTTATTTGGCATGTAATTAAAGTACTAAAAATGCTCTGAATTTTTAATTAAGTAGAACTTTGTAATATATTACAATCAATGTTTTGTTGCATCTGAAAAATTTTGTGTTTTAAGAAATCGAAAAACAAAATTTTATAGGTTTTCAAATGAGGAACTGCTTTAAAAGTGATGTGACATTTGTACCTCGTGTACGGAAAGGTATATGAGATATGGGTGCTACAAAAATCCCTATTAATTTCAAATTCGAAATCAAAAATTTCAATAAACGAAAATTAAGTCTGTTTTTACTTTTCATTTTGTTATCAGATATAATCAATATTATAAAACAAAATTAGTAACCAAAGTTACTTTCACGACAATTTCTTTTAAATAGATTTGTCCACTTTGAGATTTTAGCAAATCTGTTAAGACGACATGATAAATCGCGAAACAAATTGATTCTCTATCTCATTTTTCCCACGATATTTGAACCGTTTCATATTAAATAAATGTAGAAGAAAGAGTTATGAATCGTTTAGAATTAAAGGGAAATATTCAAATTTCACCTACCTGATTGGCTTCATCGTTGTTAATAAAAAACTTAAACCATCAAGGTTCAAGGTATGCCCCCACAAAGTGTGCAACAAAGATCTTGCAAAGATTTTGGAATCCAGTTATTTGAATCTCTACATAGAAATTAGAGAAACTGTGTCGCACATTAAAATTTAAACTCAAAAGTGTTCCACAAAGAATTTGAAATTCATAAATTCAAAATTGAAGGAACCTCATCATTGGCGTAAATTCCTTTGTTTCTATCCAATATTTGTTTTGCCAAATTTTTGATACTCCCCTTGTATACAATAAGGATTAAACTCAAATGAATTCTATATCATCTCGGAAAATAAGAATAAATTTTTATTAAGATTGATAGAAAATCGCGTTAATCCAAGAATGATATAGAAAAATAATAATGATAATAATAATCATATATCATTATAAAAAGAATGATAATGAACGAATTTACTATGTCTTAAGATTGTTATGTAAAATAACAATCCGAGATGAAATCAAACCGAGAAAATAAAATAAAGAAGTCAAACTTCTTAAAAATAAAATAAAATATATGAAAAAAATACCTTTTGCTTGATCTTTTGATCGGAAATAGTTGAGGCCAATCGCTACACATTTTTCTTAAGATATATTTTCGGCTACTCTTTTGGTGCTCAAGATCTTTAGTCGTATGTCTCTCATAATACAACAACTAGATGATCAGTTATATTAGCACAACTGCATAGATCACGAACTATCATTTCCTTCATCTATCATTGAAAAACTAATGGAGGAAAACTTTTCTGATTTCTTAAACATGTGTTTAACCTAGTAGGTTAAAACAATATTTATAGAGAATTTTCAAGATATTTAATCCAATCATATATCTTTTAATTCAAATTTAAATAGATAATGATATCTTTTAATTTGAAATATTCAAAAGATGTAGACACATTTTACTATTCAAACTTAAAGAGATATTATTTTGATTAGAAGTATTCAAAAGTATATAATTATCTTTAATATTCAAAGCTAAATAGATAATAAATACATTTTTAATTTGACTTATTGAAAGAGTAAATATCATACTAATATTCAAATTAAAAATATCTTTTAATTTGCAATAGCCAAAAGGAATATGAATTTAATATAAATATTAAATTCAACAATGAAATTCACTCTTTTCCCAACAAAATTAGTCGTGGAATTCATTGTAGAGATAGTAAAAATGAAAAAAATGGAGAATTTGGCAACTCTAATACGAGTTTCACCGAAAGATTTTGATTCTTGTCTTTGTCATTGTTGTTGCTTGTGTCTTTATTTTTGTCATCATTTTCTTCGTCTTCTCGTTCCCCTAGATTATTAAAACGACATCATTTTATGTATTCTAGCATTTTCCAGAAAAATCAATCTGTACTGGTCAAATTTTGACTTTCAGGCGACTTTCCATACAGATTTTCATATTGGGTCTATGTTCTCTTTAGCAATAGAAATTTCAAAAAAAAAATGAGTAGAGATGTAGGGTAATGGGAAAAAAGGAATATGACCATGTAGGGGGAGAAATGGGTAACCCAAAATTATTTATTTTGAAATATGAGTTGATATCGTTGCTAAACCCATCATTATTGATACTGACCCAGGAGTATCGATACTCCCTTTAGAGTATTGATAATCCCTTTAGAGTATTGATACCAACAACTTAAAAATTAGCTATGAGAAATGGGGTAGTATTGATACCCCAATGGGGAATATCAATACTCAACCCTTGTTATCGATACTACCATGAGTATCAGCACCAAAATTGTATTACGAAATTTTAGTTTCGAGACCCCTCCTTCAGGTATCGAAATTGTGGCCTTGGTATCGATACTCAATGCACGAGTATTCGATACTCATACTCTAAAACCCAATTATTTGAGCGTTGCATAAGAACAATATCGATATTATTCCTCCAGTATCGATACTAATGCTATAGAATAAATTGTTTAGGCATATTAAATCCTCTTTAAACCATCCTAGAGGCCCTAAAGAGGTCCCCAAACATTATTAGTATCCTATTTGAGTTTATTGCAGTCATAAGGAGTCATTTTAACACTTAGAAACACATAAAACCATGATTTACCATAAATATGCTTATAATCTCCAAAAATTAATGCAAGCTACATCAATGCATAAAAAGGCTTACAAATGGTTTAGGAAGGTTAGAAGGGTGTTACCTTAAGGTCTTGGTAGCTGGAAAACGTCCTAATTCACCCAAGAGTTAACTTCTACTTACCCATTGCTTTGGAATCTTCTCCAACCTCTTTCACTAACATAACATAGAAATAGTATTACTAGCTTGTTTATGGGACATTTATGAATTTAAAAACACTTTCTAACTTCCATCTTACGCCCAAAACAAGTTAGAATCCCCTGAGTCTTTAAACCCTCACTAAACCTATTTTTGGTTCAAAGCTTAAAACTTGACATATGAGGCTTGAAACGAAGGTCTTGAAAAGGAGAATAACTTTCTTACCATAGATAAACCCAGCTAAGTGTTGAAATTCTTAAAGCTTCAATCTTTGTTTCACTTGAAAGATAGGAAAATGAAGAGAAGAGGAAGAGTGTTTGGTGAGGAAAATAGGGAGTGGTTCACACTGACATTATAGAAAATAAGGGGGTTTTAGTTTTTTATTTGAAAAATAGGAAATTTAAACCTTAGGTCCTCTTCTTTTTCTTTCTTAGTAAACTCATCCCAAAACCTTACACTTGGGCCCAAACTAAGCCTAATTCCAACTTAATTAGATCCACAATATTCTAATAAGTCATTTGGGCTCTATTTATAGGTCTCGGGTCAACCTGAACTACTAACCTAAAATTTTGAGTATTATAGGAGGAGGAGGAATTGTCGATGGCTTGATGTAAACTGGAGCAATAAGGCAACACTGGTTTGACACTAGGTTTCTACGTACGAAAACATTTACCACCTGACATTGGTTGTCACGAGCATGGTTTTCAGAACCGGACCGGTCAGCAAACCGGCCGTGCTACCGGTTCACTGGTTCAACCGGTCGAACCGGTCAGACCGGTCGAAAGAACCGGACGAATTAATTAATTATTTAAAAAAATATAAATAAAAATATAAAAAACATTTAATAAAAAATAGTTTTTTATATCACAAGTCATATTTAAAGCAAATTATAACATATATAAGTTAAAAACCATAAAATCAAGTGAAACAAAATGATTCAAATCAACTACAACATAATATTTAAGGTAAAACATATTAAATAATAAATATAATTATATAAATATAATCAAAAAATAAATTTGGGGCTAAAAAAATTATAACAAACGATGTCGTTTGGTTTAATTTTTAAAAAAAAAAATCTCACATGACTAAGAAACATAGAATATCATCACAAAAGTCTAAAGAGTAAAAATATGAAAACAAAACAATCCCACATGGCTAAGAAACATAGAAGAACATCCCAACTGACTTCTATAAATAATAGAGGTAATTGGCATCCAAAATCATGGAGCCTTTTGGTGAGCACAGAGCGAACTATTCTTTTGCTTCAATCAAGCTCGAATTTCAGGCTTTAATCGAGCTTCTAAATTTTTTTTTGAGTTCAAGCCTTTTTGAGTTCAAGTTTCAATATTATATTTCAAATTCGAGTTGAACTTGATAATTTTTAGCTCGTGAGATTTTTAGTCGAGTTGAGCTTACTTTTAAAGTTTTCGAGTTCGATTCGGCTTGTTTAACAAACGACGTCGTTTGATTTAATTTGTTTTAGAAAAAAATAGAACCGGTTTTCAATCGGTTCACGGTCCGGTCCGGTTCGAACGGTTCACAGCCGGTTCAAGGGTTCCTTCCGATTCACTAGTAGCGGTTGAACCGGTATAGAATGAATCGAATTAGACAGCAATTCCCGGTTGAACCGGTTGAACCGGCCGGTCCAATTTTCAAAACATTGGTCACGAGCAAGTGAATGGAGAGTAAGTACACGCACCTTAAAAGGTTCTAGTTTTTGTATCACTTTCATGTTTTAGCCTTTAATTTTCTAAAAGGAATTCATTTCATTTTCAACCATTTTCTTTGTATCTCTATTTCTCATTTTCATTGTTTGAGTCTGTTTTGTGGTTGTGCTTTTCCCCTTTCATTCTCTCTTCAAATTTTGATTTTATTTTTGTATAAGTTCTATTGTTCGTTACTTGGTTATTTTTTATTATTATTTTAATTATTTTAATTTATTTTTTTTAAATTTATTCATCGATTTTTTTAAATCTGGTGAATAAAAATGCTGGAATATAAAACGAAATTTACCAATCTAATTGTTTACTATTTTTGATGCAAGCCTAAATATAAAAATACAATATTCGATACATTTTGATGTTTAGCATTGAGTTTTAGTACTTTCAGGTTATAAAACCTAACTTTCGAGAAATGCCATTCATGGGCAACTATCCATCCATGGTGGGACAAAGGATGAGAAAATTTGAATGAGCTACTTTACTTTAAGCTTTCAAGTGTTGATTCTCAGACCAACAAAGACAACAACTTTCCTTATCGTCTGAGTTTTAATCCTTTTATCATCCAAGGGAAAAAACAAGGGAAGATATAAGCAGGAGGAGAGAGGAAGGGAGTCATGGGGGATATTTTCATATGGCTTATTTCTTTCTTCATCCTCATTGCTCTTGTTGTTCTCCTCATTTATCAGGTCAATTCCTTCCTAAACCCTAGAATCTTTTTTTTTCTGGGCTTGCCTGTATTTTTACGCTATATCACTTCTTTTTCTTTTTTAATTTTATAGTATGCTTTGCTGTTCGGTGAGGATTATTTAGTTGTTTATTTACATGGAAATCACTTAATAAATGCAAATTTTTGTCCTTTCTGTTGAGCAAAGAAGAGAAGAACATTTTTTGGAATGCATTTATCTGAGGCTGTTAAATTTGTTGTAAAAATTGTGTGGAACTGATTTGGTGTTGCTATTTTTTTTTTCTCTAAATAGTAATCCCACTGCAATTTGTTGTAAAAAGGAATCTATGTTCATCTGTAGATCTTTTTGGGTATATGAGAACCGAGGACAAAATTTTAAAGCTTGGTAATTTTGCTGCAGCTCACATGCTTGGCTGATTTAGAGTTTGATTACATCAATCCCTATGACTCTTCATCGCGGATAAACAAAGTCTTCTTGCCGGAATTCTTCCTGCAAGGATTTTTATGCTTATTCTATCTATTAACAGGGCACTGGATTATGTCACTTTTGTGTACTCCATATTTGTACTACAACGTGAGACTGTAAGTTATTCTCTCATCTTCTTATTCTACTTTTTCATCATTAGTGTAGGCGAATTCAAATGAGATTCACTAGTTTTAGTTCAAAGTTTATTTCAAATTGAACAACTTCAGCACCCTATATCCAATCGGATTTAAACTAGTCTCCTTTATAAATTTTGTTTAGTTCCAAGAGCTTGTTTGATAATGTAAATGATCAAAGATTCATTGCTTATTAACTTGTGCAAAGACATGCATCATAAGATACCTAATAACATAATATAGGTAGCAATGGAACTTTTGTCATATGCATTCAATTTGCTGGCATATGAACCTCCCATGGAGGGCATCATGGTTAAAATTAGCTTTATTTCCTCTCTAGCAGTATTGGCGTTTTTCTTTTTCAAAGTTATAGCTATTTGTTTGCTACAAATCAAGCTGTGTTTTATCGTATCAATCGTGGATAGATCATCAAACATATGAATCTATTTATCAGAGAAAAAAATATGTAAGCTGTTATTGATGTTTATCATGTGTTGTAGTAATTGTACATGCTTTCTGTTTCCTGAACTTTCTCTTGTAATCAGTTACACATCGAAACAACACCTGGTTGATGTCACTGAGATATTTAACTTGCTTCAAAGGGAGAAGAACCAACGCTATTATAAACTCGCGTACCTTGTTATTCTCCTATTTTTGTCGTTATTCTGGTAAGTTTTATTAATACAAATACACAGACTTGCTCCCTCTAATCATGTGCCTGCTAACCTGAGAGTTTTATATGTATTTGTTAGGATTATCTTCTCTGCATTAGAATACGAAGATGATTAACAGGAGCCTAGCATCGTTCGCAATCTGAGGTATTTGTCGCTCTGAACTGTTGCCGTGCATCGACTGCCCACAATTTTTTTGTCTTTGACAAGCTCCTTCTGTTGTAATTTGCAACTGATACAACCATGATTTCCAGGGTTGTAGAATTGTGAGAATTTCAGGTGTGATTTTAGATAAATATATATTTTCAGGCATACGGTGTATGTTTTTTTTTTGGCATTACTTAGCCTTTTCAATTTTTAATTTAGTAATTTTAGGGCATCAAATAATATAGTCTGTAGGAGTGTTTGAGCGTTCATTGTCAAATGATTGAGTCTTTCGAACAAATAATACTTTATAATTACCCTAGACTAATAAAAAATAGTAGTTTATACTTTCACCATGAGGGTGAGATGTAAAAATATGAATCAACTCTACCATGTAGTTACCCCATCCATGGTCGTTCACGATCGTTCTCGCTTAAGCACTCCTCTCTCCATCCATTATTGACCTTAGCAATGAAGTCTTCAATTCTTTGGTGTAAATCATCACCATATTCTTCTTCTCCACCATAACAACTGCAGTCATTGTTGTTTTCATGATCATCGTCTTCACAATAGCCACTTGAAATATCCGTATCATCTTTGTAGACATCAACAATATCACTACGTTCAGTTTGATCGAAGGAAGCCCCCACTTCAGACACTGAGCAGTCTCCATCGGATTCATCTATGGATTGTTTATGGCTTACAAAGATAACAGAAACTATTATGGCGTTGAACAACACGAAGAGTGAAAGATGATTGTATGAGAATTCGAAATTGCAGGTTGATAAAGATTTCAGGGTAACTACACATAGAATTAAGGCTGAACAAAAGAGCTTCATTCAAGTGTGTACTAAACAGGGGGAAATGGTGTTATTGTTGATTCTCCCATTTGGCAGGAGTGTAGCATTCATTATATAGGAGATTTGAGTGGGTTAAGAATAAAATATATGATATTTTAAAGATTTTGAAAGACCATTTCTTTCATGTTTTCAAGTAATGAAGACTTTGAAGAATAAGATGGGATTATTGTATCCCCGAAGTTACTTGGCAAGTTTCTTTTGTGAAGACTTGTTACCTGGTAAAAACCTCGCAAAATGAAGAAGGTTAGATTTCGTTTCTTGCGATTGAGGTTGATGTTCATAATGGAAAGAAAATAAAGGGCTTTTTTGTTAGATAAAAATACTACTACATTTTCAAGGCAACTTTCGTATATAAAATATTTTTATTTTAAGGTTTAATATCAAAATAAGTATTCAAACTATACTCAAAATCTCGAGTAGGTGATTAAACTATTTTTTGACTCATCCCCATGCCTAACGTTACAAACGTTACTCATTTAGGTGTCATGGTCATCAATGACGTTAATTTTCCCGTTAAGTGACATGTTTCATAATTTGGTAATTTTATAAATTTATTTTTAAAAAATACAAATAATTTTTCTCTCTCGAAAAAGCCCTAATTTTTCAAAAATATAAAAAACCTCAAACTCTTAAGATTTCTTATTCTAGTCCCATTTATTTCGACTGCCGACATCTCCGGCCACCTATACTTCACCGACAACCCAATGACCAGTCACAACTCTTAATATCTATCATCTCAAAATCCAAAATTCTCAAATCACTAAATTTAAATTTCTAATTCCTAAAATCCCAAACACTCAATCCTTCAAATTCGATGGAGATAATCAGACGTTTCGCCGACCGTGGCAACCGACCATTTGGTCGGTCTTTTAATAGGACGTTTGACTGTAACACCCATAACCCGTATATGTCTCGAAATACAAGCTATAGATGTCACATCAACTTAACAAACGTTCACTAAGCATAAATGCTTAAAATTTTGTTTAGTTTTAAAACACTCGTAATTTAACTTTAAATCTATTTCCTTAAAAAGCATAAAATTATAAATTATTAGTTTGTCGTAGAAAACAAATTCATTTTTCAAACAGTAATTAGGCAGTTTAATGTATTTTTCTTAAACCATTTAGAACTGTATGAATTCTGCTAACTTTATAAACCTTTTTAAAACATAATAATATATTCTACTCATGCATTATACTAATAACACTGGTCTAGACAAAAAAAAAATAGTCCTAGTTTACTATTACATACTATTTAAAAGTAAATCCGATAAATAAAACTACTAACATAATTAAGCATGCCACTAAAAGTTAAAAGTAACATCATAGATGTCTTACTGATTCTGATGATAGATATAACTTCTAAAAAGATGCTCAAGAGGCTCCTCACTACTCGTCCCTATCTCTATTAGAACCTACGCATGAAAATCATCACGCGCTAAGTATAACTTAGTGAGGCAGTAATAAGCTAAGGTTATATAAAACATGAAAATATCATAAATATAAATAAAATAATTTAAATGAAATATTAAACTTGCAAACTGACTTATTCATGCCAATTTCTTCATTGCAACATGAAATTCATCTTAATTCATGATTTCATAAAAATCATGATAAATAATATCAGATAAAATAATCATATCATGCTTTTTGTTAACTTGACGTCATTCATAACTTTCATATTCATTTTCATAGCTCAGTGCATATTTATGAGAACACAAGGTACGTGAGTATAACATAAGGTGCGCACTGAGCACATTATGGTGTCAATCTTAACTGAAACATATAGTGCACTCAAATGCAATCATAACATGAGCACCAACGGTGCAATCATAATGTACATGAATATACCATAACTTAACTAAAAAGTACTCAACTTAATGGCATGCCAAATGTACCTACGACTCTCAATGCAACATACAATGGGATTATATATCATAATAGAATCATTAATTAATCATCGTTTGAAGATCATAAACCTTTAAAATTCATCATCATAAAAATCGTACTTGGGTAGTTCATACCCTAAATCATTCATAAAACTTATTGAAAATATTATAGAAATCATCCATAATTAAAATTTATAAATCATACATGAAAATAAAATGAGGTTGACTTATCACAAATCATCATCGATCATAATAACTAAATAAATTGCACTCACATTTGCCTCACTACCGAACATTTATATATTAATTCTTTACTCATTTGCTTTTTCCTTTTCTTTCGGATCACTAGGTTTATTGTGATCTGCAACATCATATAATAACATAAAATATTCAACTTATATGTTAGTATCAAACTAATAATCTAAATTTAATAATATAAAATTCTATAAAAATAAAATCGATTCTAAATCGATATTAAACTAAATCATATTTTCATCATGAATTGAAACTTCCCAACATACTTATTCAATCCCAAAAATATTTATTTTTCATCATTCATCCTTCAACTTTTACTAATCTCATAATCAAACCTCTAATTATGAATTCTTTCTAGAATTCACCTTAACTACTGAAAAAAAAATCCAGCACCTTAACAAAATAATCAAATCAATACTTTAACATTCAAAAACTTGTAATTTCATCCTAAACTTTCTTAGACTTTTCAATTTCAATCACTTACTTTAATAAACTTGCAAATGGCTCCCAAGTTGAAATAAAACTCCAAAACACAGCATATTAATAAAAATTTCTAGCATAGTAATCTAAATTTAATATATAAAAATAAAATCGATACTAGATCGATATCAAACTAAATCATATTTTCATCACAAATTCAAACTTCCCAACATACTTATTCAATCCCAAAAATATTTATTTTTCATTATTAATCCTTCAACTTTTACTAATCTCATAATCAGGCCACTAATTTTGAATTCTTTCTAGAATTCACCTTAACTTTTCCATTAAATTCATAATATTCCTTCACTATTATGATCATTTCACCTTAAATACTGAAAAAATCCAGAACCTTAACAAAATACTCAAATCAATACTTTAACATTCAACAACTTGCAATTTCATCCTAAACTTTCGTAGACTTTTCAATTTCAATCACTTACTTTAATAAACTTGCAAATATCTCCCAAGTTGAAATAAAACTCCAAAAATCAGCATATTAATAAAATTTCCATCATAGTAATATTTTTACTCAAATGATACTTTCACATTTAATAACTTGCAATCAAATTCCCAATTTCCAAAGACTTTTCGAATTCCACCCCAAAGTTTACCAAATTTGTAATTTGATTCCAATAAAAATTCTGACTTATATTTCCAGCATTTCAAATATTAAAATTCAACCTTGCGTACTTCAACTATTACATTTATGCAATAATATCCCACATTTCTCAAAACTTGTAAATTAGCCCTTCTACTTTCTCAAGGCTCCAAAATATATAGAACACTTTTAATACTAATTCTAGACCATAGGAAATTTTACAAAAATTTTCCCCTATTTTTCCTTGTATGGTCGAATAACCCTAGTATAATAAAGCTTGATTTCCAATCAATTTCAAGCATGAATTCAACTTCTTCACAATAAATTCATGCTATTCTAACCTTCATAATATCAATTTGAACCAAAATCAATCAATCTCAATAAACCCTAGAAGTGGTCGAACACTATATAAGCATGTACAAATAAATTTTAATTATCATACATGCCTTAGAATTAATCTTTAACCTCAAAAACATAAAAATCCTTAATCAATTCTTCAAAATAACAAAACCCTACATAAACCCTAATTTTTAATCTCAACACACAAGCATCTTCACCATGTAATATTTATACCAAATTGTCGAAACGGTTTTTTTTTTCGGAGGGGGAAAAGGGTGGTCCCATTTCGAAAATATCTTTTGTGCATTAAAACAATCATTTATTACCCCAATTGAAATAAAGAGATATTACTATTTCGTCTTAAAATTACATAGCGATTCGAATGAAAACGTTAACATCTAATGATTTCCAATCGAGAATAAATGATTTCTTGTACCTTAAAACAATCATTTATTACTCGGACCGAAACGAAAAGATAATATTATTCTCAATGTCGATTTGTATGTTATTGTTTTGAAAATCTACCGGAAAACACATGCAAAAATAAAACAAATAAAAAGTATGACAAACAAGGAATTAATTATTTACTTTACCGATATTTAATGATAATAAGGATATTCAATTATTTAAATATCTCAAGACGATACCTTAGATTCGGTCTAATAGTCTTTTCGCGATGAGTTTAATTAAAAGAACATGATCTTTTTTCTCAATCCCCGAATTTTAAGATGAATTCAATTTAATTCGTGTCACTAAATGGGATAGACTTTCATTTTAAAATTATCGAAAGTAACTTTCTTATAAGTTAAGACAGTCACTTCACGACAATATTAAAATGAACGAATATTAACCTTAGTCAATTTATTAATTCGAGTCAAGTTATGCTCATGAGGCTGTTCTACGTATTAATTAAAAGATGTCTTGTACCTCAATTTATATATCCAAATGAATGCAACTATATACGTAATTTATAAACATTGTCAAAAACTAATAATAAGTAAATATGGATAAGAAAATATACATACATATTTTAATATGAACATACAAAGGAAAGAAACACTAAACATATATATGCGTAGATATAATATAATATATATACGGGAGGGACATATATATATATATTATATATATATATATATATATATATATATAGAGAGAGAGAGAGAGAGAGAGAGAGAGAGAGTATAACACATGATAAATAAAATAACATACATAATCTCATCCTTAATAAAATGGTCAAAGTAATTGCACAAAACGGTTAAAGTAATTAAATGTTCAATAAGCCTTTCCAGCACATAATCCTCTTAAAATTAAGGCGAAAACAACGGGAACATTAATAGACGAAAGCAAAAAATAATAAATTAACTTACACACAAACCAATCGAAATTTAAGAGTAAATTAACCAAATATTGAAT